AAAAAAAAAAAAAAAAAAAAGGGAGGGGACACTTCTATGAAGAATTTCAGCTAACAAGAATGAGACAACTAGAAAGTCATCAGTTTACAACCACAAATTCAATAACTGATAGACAAAGATAATGAAAGGATGCTAAAACCACTGAGTTACTGGGTAACCAAATATTCAGAGGCTCTTAAGGTATCATCCCACAGATTAGTTTTTAATTAGAAAAGAGAAAAGTTACCTTTAGAATGAGGAAATCTGGCAGTTATTAACTTAATGTCACTAAAATGACACAAGTTGCCATTATATGACTTTTGATGTGATACAGTGGGAAGTTCCAACCTCATCAATGTAGTACTGGTGATAACCAAATGCAAAGTGTGATCCACAAAATAAAAAGGAAAAAACCACCAGAAAGGATACATCAATGCTCAATTTCGTGGAGTAGATAATGGGACTGTGACAATATAGAAGAATGCCCTTGTTCTCAACAGATACAAGCTGAAGTGTTTAGGGGTGACACGTCATGATGTCTGCCAACTTACTTTCAATGAATTCATTCAAAAAGGGAGAAGAAAGTGTGCATGTATTGTATGTTGAGAGACAGAACTAGAGCAACTGTGGCAAATGTTAATACTTGGTAACTGTAAGTGAAGGGTACATGGGTGCTCATTGCATTATCATTTTACCTTTCCTATAGGTTGGACATTTTTCAAAATAAAAGACTGGAGAATAAAAAGAAATGAGATATATTTCCCAAGTCCCAAGGATTTAGGGAATCCTTTCAACTGTAGTTTTCTTGCCCATCGTTTATTGAAAATTATTTTTATTATGAATTTATGACAAATTTAAGACACTTGCAAAAATGACCAAAATATGATAGAATTGTTTATTATTTTATGCCAACAGCCTATATATGCCATGAATGCACAAAACACTGCCCATTTTACTTGTTAGTAGTTATCATCTAATTCTAAAACAGAAATATGAATACATAAGGAACCAAAAGATATCAGCATTACTTAGAAATCACTTAGACCTTAATGTGTGCCCTTAAAGCACTTCTCCAAATGTTTTCTAAAAATTAATTTTCATGATAATAAATTCAGTTCACTTCAAAAAACACTCTAACGTAATACAGAAGTACATATTGGAAAATCCTATTTCAAGCTCTTGAATTGGAGGTTTAACTTAAGCTTAATTTGCTCTAAGCTAAAAAGAGTACAAAGCAATCCCAAAAGCAATCTTACCTTAACAGGCATTCCAGTACAGTGTAAACCAAAGGGAAATAGACAAGTTTTTCCTTTCAATCTCTGGTACCCTACTGCAAACTATAGAAAAAAAATTCAATTTAAACTACAAATTTAAATGCTAGACGAATACAAAATTCTGACTTTTCACAAAGATCATGAATTTTCCTCTTCACATCTTCCTTTAGAATACCAGTTAGATTTTATAGTCATTCCAAAGTTATCCTTTTTTTTCTGTCTTTTCACCAACCTAGAAATTACTTATGAACCTGTATACATACCTAGACTCCTGCACACACACACATACAGCATGTGAAAATAGAAAAATTAAATTACTTTAACATAAAAACCATGCTTAAAATTAAGGAATTCTAAGTTCCCTTAACAGGAAATAAATTCTATAGATGCTATTTTCTTTAAAATAATATTTATTAAAGACCCTCCCATCCCATTATATTAAACATAGAGGAAGCTTTACCTCACATTTGGATAAAGAAAATGTATGTCCCAAGTGAAGGCGCCCATTCATATATGGATATGGGAAGGTTACAAAGTACTTGTCCTTGCTGCAAAACAATCATGTAAAAAAGAAAGTACAAAAAAGAAAATGTTCAATTCCTTTTACAATTAAGGGTGGGGTCATGGGGACACTTACTATAAATAACTTGTTTAAATTTTAGTTATTTAACAGACATTGAAAATTAAATTTATAAATCCAGAAATTAAAAGCTCTCTAAAATTGAAACTTGTTTTTGATTTAGAAAAACTAAGATATTTATAGGTGGCTATTAAAGAACTAAATATCCTTGTAGCAAATATTGGAGGTTTAACTTAAGCTAAAATACTGAGCTAAAAATGATATACTAAAAAAAAAAATTAATAGGGAGACTGAATTAATTTACTGTTTTACTGATTAAATGAGATATGCTTTCATTAGATATATATAAAGCAATTCAAAGCCTCTCAGGTAAAATAAAACATCCTCAAAATTACACGATATGTGGTAAATTCCCTTAAAAAGCACCTTTTTAAAAAAAAAAAAAAAAAAAAAAAAAAGCACCTTTTTAAAGCTGCTTAATGTATTATGTTATACTCCTTTTTTCTATGAATCAAGTGTATCTAACAGACATATGTAAGTTATAAAGCACACCTGCGCTTCATAAGTGACCACCTGTAAACACACCATCCAACTTATGAACTCACTGAAGCTACCCGTGTGCTACTCCCCACCCTCCCACCAGACAGAACCATTATCTTGAAATTTACTTTTGTCATTCCTTTGTTTTTGAATAGTTTGCACGTAAGTCTATGCCTTTAAACAATACATCATTTAGTTTCACTCGTGAGCTTTTTTCATTCAGTGTTATATTTCTAAGTTTCTTCAGTTCATTTTCTTTCACTGAGCAAAAGCACTTTCTAATTCACTTTTGATTACTTTAAATTACCTTAGATTTGACCAAAGTTCTAGAACCAAACAGAAATTTCAAATTATAGTTTAAAGTATAACACCAGAGACTTTGTAGTAGAGCAAATTCTTTTCCTCTCTTAAAAAAAAAAATTCCATTAGAGTGTAGCTTAGTAGCAAGGATAGACTTTGGAATCAGAAAGTCCTGATAAGAAGTCCAAGCCCTGTCAATTCCTAGCCATGCAATCTTAAGCTGGTTACTTAACCTCTCTGTGTCTCAGTATACTCATCAATAAAACAAAAATTAAAATATTGGTAACCTTAAAGCGTTACTAAGAACATTAAATGAGAATATGCATGTTAAAAAATGGCCTATTTCCTATTGCCTTGGCATACTGAACAATACCTGTTCAATATTAGCTATTATTGCTATTGTTGTCAGTGCATTTCCTCAACTCTAAGAAGCACATTTTTCTACAGCCCAACGTATCTGAAATTGTGACGCATCTTATAATTGATGCATATATTTACTGTGGTACTGTGTTGCAGCAGTTACTTTGTTTTTCCCCAATATCATATCATTATCTATGGTCTGTCTTCTAATAAACAATTCTTAACATCAAGGCAATACAGATTTATAAAATAAGATCTTTAAATACAGAAATCCTTCAAAATTTATAATCTGTGCCTTTGGAGATAATTATCACTATAATATGAATCTCTGTAACAGAATGACTTGCTATTATCAGTCAGCAAAGATAAAACTTCAAAACATTTTCCTTTGTCTAACTATGAAAAGTATTAGTTTTTAAAAAAACCTTTACGTAGGAAAAAATCCTTTAAGATTCCATAGGAAAGAGGATGCTAATTTGAAATAGAGAAAGTGGAAGTTACCTCCTTCAGCCTGTTTCAGACATTGTAAATACAATCTGCCTTATTCCTTCCACAGAGCAGTCTCTGCACCCAATGGTTCTGGAAACACAAGGTGTAGAGTTTCACAAACTATTACTCACCTAGTCTGTTTCTCTAAATTAGATGCATTGACCTCAAACACTTTCTTGGCATCCCATTTTTGTTGGACTTCTTTCTCAATCTTCTTCAAGAAGTCCACTTTGGTTGTTCTTTTTCTTTCCTATTGGACACAAAAGAGATAGAATAATACACTCTATATTTCAGCAGACTTGCTTTAAAAAAAAGAAAACAAAATTTGGGTTCACACAGAACTGAGCTGTTTTTTGACAGATTAATTTTTCCATGGTTATCTTTAAATTTAAATGAGTAAGACTAAAAATTAGGGCTATCATGACCTGATAGGGTTATCCACTTCAGACGTCAAAGGGATGACTAAAGAATTACTTAAATACATAAAAAAGCTGTGAAATACTTGTTTTTAATTAGATACTACAATATAACACCGTTGTCAAATGTTTCTATTTAGTTAAAATAGATGAATACTTAGAAAAGCATAGGATGGTGCAGTGCCTGCTTGCCCAGCTGCAATTATGCCCACCAAAGGAGGATGGTGAGGCCTAATGGGTAGAGGCTGAGAGAGGATTAGTCATCTGCGTGTTCTTTTTTTCAAGGAAGCTGATGAAGAACTTCTCTCCAAAATGGTTAACAGGCTATTAATATGAAATTAAAATGAAACAGAACGGCAAACATGCCTCCAGCATATTGGATCTACCTGGCAACATTCCCATCATCCCTTATGCCACCCTTGGATGAAAATAAAAGGAAAAAACATACGTGATCACTCTAACTCTGAAAATGAAGAAGGATTAGAACTTCCCTCTCAGTATGTGACTCTGTGAAAAAGAATCAGCTACTAAAAGCACATGTGCTACAGCCGAGGTGGAACATGGGACTTATGTAACTGGCAACTGGGAAAGCTGGATACCAATGGACCATACACAATCTAATTCTGTTTTGAAAACTTAATATTAGTTTCTAGAATTTTATTTTCTTGTACAAAATTATCTGAACCGAAATTAGATTTTCTTCCCCTTCTTACACACTAACATTTCCAGATTCTGCAGCATTTTCAAACGAGAAAATACCCTGGTTCTACTTATACTGAATACCTTTACAACCTACAGGGCAAGTGACCTTGCCAAGTCATGTCATGTCTTCCTCTGTGCTTCCACCCAACTATTTAAAACATGCTTTCTACTCATATCACAGATATACTGGATTTTTAGACAGCTATTTTTAAAAATGGTTACACAAATTTGAAGTACTATGCAAACGGGACTTCTGTGCAATTAAAAAAAAACCCTAAACTTACCACTATTTCTTCAATAACTATTTTAAATATACCTTGTGTATTATGTAATAAAAATAAGAGTACTAAAATTGGGTAAGATTCAGTACAAATCTACCATAGAGTTGTCAACTCTGTTTTACTATTTTCAGTTTTATTTTTTTTTTCTTTCTTTCTTTTTTTTTTTTTTTTTTTGGCCATGCTATAGGGCTTGTGGGATCTTAGTTCCCTGACCAGGGATTGAACTCCAGCCTTCCCCACTGAAATCGCAGAGTCCTAACCACTGGACCGCCAGGGAATTCCTTTAGTTTTCTTTATTTTAAATCAAAGGATTTGATTAGTAAATCAAGTTTACTATTCCTTTTTATTTTTTTAAGCAAGTTTAAGATAGAAGAGGACAAGCAACAGAAAGATGAAATGTCAGTTTACAAGGGGAGGTGCAATGATGGATTAAAAGAGCACTGCCACAAAGGCAGAGAGGAAATAAGAAAGAATTCCACATATGAAAAGTCATGGACATAAGTTTCTCTAGTACCAAAGGAAAATAAAAATGACAAGTAAATTTTTTATTTCTATAAATCCTGACCAGACCGTAATTGCTGTGAGTAGAACTTATATCAAAACACAAATCTGATCAAGTCAATTCCTCTTCAGAGGTTCTCTACTGCTCTCTGGATAAAGTCCATACTCTTAAACCTGGCACTCAAGGCCCTTCTTATCTCATCTTTGCCAGGCCCCTCCCTCTTCCCTCTCACCACCACTCCAGGCCTATTAAGCCACCTGCACTTTCCCAAGTGTGCCAAGCTCCCTCTCTCCCCTCTGGGCCTTTGTTCAAGCTATTCTCCCCGCCCTCATACCCCACCAATCTCTTTGCCTGGCTACCTCATCCTTCAGGTCCCAGCTGATCACCTGCCTTGATTCCCCAAGAGTGTATCAGGTACCATTCTTAATATGTTCCTACCTACCAGTATTACCTCTATGATAGCACTAATCACGCAGTATCAGTATCAGTCTATCTTCCCCATAGGACTATAAGTTTGTTCACAGTGGGGACTGTGTCTCATTTCTCATTATATCCTCAATGTCTAAGCTTGTAGCAGCTCTCAAATATGTGTTGAACATTTAAAGATTTAAAAAGAGAAATGAGTAACACTGCCAGCTTTTGCATACCATGGCCATAACAAAATAACCTAAAACTAAGAACTGGGTTGCATATTTGAGTCAAGTTGCTAAGCAATTTGGACTCTTTCCCAAGAATTTCCATAAAACTAAATGTGGCTGCATAAGGAATTTCCTTTTCCAAGAAAGAATAAGGCCCTCCATCTATTCACTCTTTTCCATTCCTGCTACCAACCAACTTCACTTAGACCCTCAGCTCCTTGGCCCCCTCTTACTGCAAAATCCTCTTTTTAACAAGTAACCTGTAAGTTATAAGTAAGTCTCTCTATTCCTATACATGCTGACCCCTGTTTTCAATTTTAACATGCAAGAACTACCATTTGAAAAAAAGCTATGGCAGAGATGACAGTTTGCCTATGCGATATCCATTCCCTCCCTTTCTTCCTCAGCAACAGACGCCCAACCTTACTTAGGGTAGTGCAGCAAAGGCAGTTAAGCATACTCTTCCATGGTTCCAGGAGAATTCACAGATTGGAGCTATGTGACTAGGTTCTGGCAAAGGAGTTTTGAACAGAAGAAAGTAAGTCACTTCCACCTGGCCCTTAAAACAGCCTGTACAACTCCTAATAGCCAACTTAATCTGTAGGTGGAACAGGCACACTGCCTAGGGCCCACAATACTTCAAGGGGCTCAACAAAATATTTTAATATCTTTTAGAATCAGAAGAAAAAAATTAAACTTTTGGATAGAAGAAAAATCTTTAATATATAATATTAATATATCTGTCTTTATACAACACAGTTGTCAAAGATAATTTCTAATATATTTTTTTTTTTACAGAGGAAGCAGCCCACAAAGGCAAAATTACCTAAGGCCTCATGAAGCCTTGTTGTACCTCCTATCCTAGGGTCATGCGTCATATGAAATCCCACTGTATCATTAGTAAATTCCTCTTTCCTTTAACCAACTTGAGTTGGCTTCCACTGCATGCAACCAAATAATCTCTCATATTTACCCAACTGGGTTGTAAACTCCTGGCAGACTGCAACTTTTAGAACATTTATAGTCACCTCAGCACCACATCCAATGCTAATAGACACAGAAGTTACATGACATATTTTTTGCTTAAAAATGACATCAACCACCCATGAAAGCAACAGTCTTCACAAGTTACTTAGAACTATGTGTTTCTTTTCACTGTACTGAGCGTGCTAAATGCACAAAAGCTCTTCTTTGAGGTCCCTGCTTCTCAGAAAAACTTGTTCCTCAAAACTCAAAGGTCAATTGTAATGAAATCTGATATTGGCCCCAGCATCAACTTGTTGTGTAACTTTGAGCAAGTCACTTGATCAATCTGAGTCTCAATTTCTTCATTGGTTGCTCAACTAATTAATTGGTTTGCTGTTTTGTCTCATTTTGTTTCATTTTGTTTTGTTTTGGGCCGCACTGCTTGGTTTGCGCAATATTAGTTCCCTGACCAGGGATCGAACCCATGTCCTCAGCAGTGAAAGCACAGAGTCCTAACCACTGGACGGCCAGGAAATTCCCAACAATTGATCATTTTAACTAGTTAAAAGGTTATTTAACAAGAGCAAAGTTCCTAAACTTTGGCCCTACTGACACTTGGGGCCAAATAATTCTTTGTTTTCAGGGGCTGTCATGGGCACCGCAAGATGTTTAGGAACATCCCTGGCTTCTACCCACTAGCTGCCAGTAGCATACCCCCAGTTGTGATAATCCGGAGTCTCCAGACCACATGTTCTCTGGGGGACAAAAGCACCCCCAGGACGAACCACTGAACTAGATAATAAACTTTTCCATATATTCATAGTATTCTGCAGTTCTTAAAACTTTTATGCACATTAACTTATTTGATCTTAACAACAACCCTAAGAGGCGGGCAACAATCGCCCTAAGAAGTGGGCAGACCAGCGATTACCATTTCAAAGATGATGAATCTGGGGCTTCCCTGGTGGCGCAGTGGTTGAGAGTCCGCCTGCCGATGCAGGGGACACAAGTTTGTGCCCCGGTCCGGGAAGATCCCACATGCCGCGGAGCAGCTAGGCCCATGAGCCATGGCCGCTAAGCCTGCACGTCCGGAGCCTGTGCTCCGCAATGGGAGAGGCCACAACAGTGAGAGGCCCACGTACCGCAAAACAAAACAAAACAAAACAAAACAAAACAAAGATGATGAATCTGAAGCTCAGAGATTATTAAGCCAGCAAATGGTCAGGCTGGACAAAAACCCTCATCTTCTGACTTTTATTTCTGCTTTCTCTTAGTACTCTGGCCATATCCTAGCACCACTGGCTGTAGAACTTAGACAAGATCCTTAACCTCTTTAAGCCTCCATTTCTCTATCTATAAAATAAGAATAATAATTATATCTACCTTGTACTATTATTATGAGGATTAAGAGATAATACGCATGAAGGACTTAGCATAGTGCCGGCCCCATGGTAAATGCTCAATAATGCTAACCATTATCACAGAGAGACAACTAGACATCACGTGCTTTTTATCAGATGTCAAAATGGCATTGTGGTTATGTTTTAAGAGAATATCTCATTATATTTTAAAAACTTACTGAAATATGTATGGATGAAATGATACAGCACCTTCAGTTTGTTTAAAATGAATCCTAACAGGTGGAGGAGGAGGTTCTGGGGAAGGTACAACTGAAACGAGATTGGCCCTGAACTGCCAATTATTGAAGTTGGGTGATGGGCACATGGAAGTACATAACACTATTATTTCTACTTTGTTCACTTTAAATTTTCCAAATGAAAAATTTTAAAACAAAAAATTTAAAGTTGACTATTATCTTTATTACAACAAATCCCCAGGTCTAAGTCTGACATGTAACTAAAAGGTATTAAAACTGTCAAAACCAGGCTTCCCTGGTGGCGCAGTGGTTGAGAGTTCACCTGCCGATGCAGAGGACACGGGTTCGTGCCCCGGTCCAGGAAGATCCCACATGCCGTGGAGCGGCTGGGCCCGTGAGCCATAGCCACTGAGCCTGCACGTCCGGAGCCTGTGCTCCTTAACGGGAAGAGGCCACAGCAAGTGAGAGGTCCGCGTACCACAAAAAAAAAAAAAAAAAAAAAAAGTTTAAAAAAAACCTCTATAAAATAAATATTCCTATGATATGAAGGAAATTACATTGCTTGCTCTTTACAAATTCAATTATAATATAAAAACTAATTTTATATCCATGCTACTCCATGTTTATTATCTCATACTCTTTACTATTGGTAAGGTTTCTTCCACAGTTAGAAAACTTTCATTACAGGAAGGTGCTTGCAAAAGAAATTTCCCCATAGTTTACAATTGCAAATAGTACAATAATTAAGAGAATGAGTTCCAGAATGGGACCAAATGAATTAAAATTCTACTTCTTAGTAGATCTGATCTCACCCCCTCTATTCTATACAGGAACATCACTTTTCTCTATCAGTTTTCCCTTTCTACAGGACAATTTCCATAAGCATACAACCACTATATAATTTCTCCTGTCCTTAAAAAAAAAAACCAAAAACAAACAAACAAAAAAAAACCTCTTTTAACCTTCATCTATTACCCCATTCCTCTGCTCTCCTTTACAGAATTCTTCAGAAGAGTTATTCATACTCATTATCTCCAGTCTCTCTCTTCCCATTCATTCTTGAACACACTCTTCAATCAGGACCTACAAGGCTTTATATGACCTACATCCACCCACCAATCAACCACCACCACCACTACCCGCCAACACACACACACACACACGTCATCATCATCATCATCGTCACCTCCCCCTGGATGACAGTCCTTTGCACATACAACCCTCCTTGTTTTTCACTCCACTCACACTGTTGGCTCTGCCCGGAAATCTTTTCCTCCGTATAGCTGCATGGCTTGCTCCCTTACCTTCTGCCACAATGCCACCTCAGCAAAGCCTTTCTTGATCTACTCCTTCCTGATCTGTTTTTTTTGTTTATAGCACCTACCGGCACCTGACATATTTTACCACATACTTTAGAATGTAGCGCACACACACGTAAACACCATGAATGCAGAAATGTTTGTCTACTTTACAAAGAGGCGCTCAAAAAATATTTGTTGAAAGGAGAAATCAATGTCACATACTCCTCTTTCTCCGAATCAGTTTTTAGAAACTTTGGTGAAATAACACACGTGACATGAAGTAGTCCACAAAGTTAAAGATATCAGGGCCTCGCTCATCAGCTAGCAAGAAAAGGCACATCCTCACAACAGCCAAGCCTTAAACGTGGGAGGCAAGGGCTCCCCATTCTTTAGAAAAGGATTTCTTCCCTTCAGGACAGTGGCTACCACATGGGGCCCCTAGACTCTGGCGAAAGCAGGTAACCAGCCGGGTTCCAAGGCCTGGCCTAGCGGACCCTCTTCCCGCCAAAACTCACCGCCATGGCGCCGCCCGTCCGACTGTGCAAACCCACGACGGTGACTTCGGTGATCCCCCTCAAAGGAGTGGTTACAACCTTTCCCCTCCCTCTCTGCGAAGCCAGGCCTACCACGACACTAAAGCACACACTTCGCACCTGATGAGGCAATCACGGGCTCACTAATTAAGTACCTCCGGGGGCATCTCATAGCCTGCTGGGAATCGTAGTTCCCAGACCCCTAAACCCCACGTCCTACAGGCATCTATTGACTACATTTCCCAGAGGAAAACAGGTTACGGAAGTGTACCCGATAAGCCACTCAGAGGGGACCCGGTAGTGACGTCATGAACATGTTGAACTACAAAGCCCATGATGCAGTTCGGTGTCGCAGACTGCCGCGAGTGCTCCCTGACTGACGTGGGGATAGCCGGCGTTCAACCTTTTCACCGTATGGAGCTGGTTTGGGTGTCTTGTCAGGATGCCAGAATGCAAGGTGTATTCGTCCTCAGTGACTGAGGTGCTAATTATGCGTTGCCGTTGTGCACAGATATTTATCACTGTCGGTGGCATTCAGAAGTCCAGAATTTAGACATTTTGTAGCCATTTATTAACAATCTCCATTTTATTAAAGGAGAGGCTGGAAGCCTTCCACCTGGTCCCAGTGCCAAGCTCAGACTGTTTCATCCGTGTCACCAACCAAGACTGAACTGTCTGAAGTACTAGTCACTAGCCACATTGTGGCTATTTAAATTAATTAAAATTAAGTAAAGTTTAAATTTTATTTCTTCAATCGCACTAGCCACTTTTCATGTGCTGGAAAGTCCACGTGCCTAGTTGTTACTATATCTCTGGACAGTGCGGATATAGAACATTTCCATCATCAAACAAAGATGTATTGAAAAGTGCTGATCCAAGACTTTCACTTTCTGGTGGTCAGATTAGTTACTCTCACATGCATTCCTTTATTAATTCAATAAATAATCATTAAGGATCTACAAAGCACTTGGAGGGGTGCAGGTGTGCCCAGCCCAGAAGTGTGTCTTCCTAATGGAATAGTGGGAAAAAAAATTTTAATAAAAATTTTAACAAAAATAAATTTTGAATTATATATGTGTAATATATATTGTATTTACATTTTTCAACAATTAGTTTTGAAATGTAAATTTAATGATGGCCTAACACAATGCCTGTCACGCGGTATGGGCTCAATAAAAATTTGTTGAATGAAAGGAAGTTAAGAATGAACCTTAGGTTATAGAGAACCTACCAGTGGCTCTCCTGCCTCCAGGCTCTTACACGTACAAATACTCCACATCATTTTCCACACTCTCTACCTATAGCTACTAACCATTTAGACATCACTTCCTGACAGCCCAAGTCTGGGTTGAATGTCTGTTCCTAAATATTCTCTGAAGCACCCCCTTCCTGCCCTCCCTTGGGAAATTTATCTCACTGAATTTTAATTGCCTGTTGATTTATCACTAGAGTTAAGCTCTATGATAGCAGAGGCTGCCTAGCACAGTGTCCGGCACATAGTAGGTGCCTTATAAGTATTTATTGAATGAATGAGAGAATCCTCATCATCCACAGTTCTTATAACTAGGGTTAGGCTTTCCTGTTCCAATTCCACCCTAACCAGTACTATTTGTCATCTTTGACTCATCAGCTTGCAATCCACGTTGGTTATTGAAATTATTCATACAACCAATATCTATTAAATACCTCCTATGAACATGACATAGACGTAAGGTATAGTAGGGAACAAGACAGACACTGCCCCTGCCCTCATGGAACTTACAGTCTAAAGTGCATGAGCCATTAAAGAAGAAAATAAACAAGTGATTGTGTGATGACAAATTATGAAAATTATGAAAAACCTATCTCCATGCCTCCAACTGCATTCTTTTTAATTTTCCTATTTAAGTGACAAATATATTTTTCAAGGGTCACTTGGTTTTCATTCATTCGACAAAAATTTAATTCACTTATACTATATACAAGGCACTATCCTAGATTCTGGAAATACAACTCTTGAACAAGACAAGTGCAGTCACCTCCTTCTAGTGGAAGAGGCAAACACTGAAGCTATGGGAGCGATGGGAGGCCATGGAAGGGTTTTAAGTAAGGAAGGGACATGGTCCCATTTGTGTTTCATAGAGATCTTTCTGAAGAAGGGTTGAAAGGGAGCAAAACTGGAAGCAGAAGGCTGTTGCAGTTGTCCAGGTGAGAGGTGACAGTAGTTTAGACTTTAGTGGTGACAGTAAAGGTAGAGAAAGGTAAACAGAGTCAAGAGTTATTTAGAAAATGAAAGTTATTACAGCTCAGTAATATGGCTTTTTAATTGGGAATCACTGATTCTTTGCTATGCCATGTGGATTACCCCCTCTAGATAAATGAAATTAGAAAGGTAGCATAGTAGATATTAGCTCAGGCTCTGAATCAGACCAAGTTCATCATTTACTACCTGAGTGACCTCAGGCAGTTCAATTAACCACTGTAAAATAAAGGTAATAATAGTAAGTACCTCATAGAGGATTAAAGAAATAATATGTATTTAGGTATAAACCCTGTATATATATGCCCAGCATATAGTAAGCACTTTAAAATGTCAGATATTTTTATTACTATTTTAGGAAAATTGATCTATAAACACTAATCTGAATCTGATTAAAATAGAAAAAGCTTACCTGCACCGCATAATAATCTCTTTCCTAGCCTAACTGAGCTAGTTATCACCATATAATTGTGTGGTATGCCTTCACCAACTATCAGACCATATTGTGCTCATTCTTTAAAATGCCACAACAGAACTCACTTCTGCCTTATTTTATTTTGTTTTTCTTCCAAACCCACCCCACCGGTCACTCTACTCAATTCAATTGAATCAGCATTTCTAAATTCAGATGCATAAAGCTATAACTAGCTTTGGCTTGTCTCTGAGTCTCTTTATATTTGTTTTTCATGCGTATTTACCTAGCCTCCCAACCTTTATATGACACAGTTCAAGGAAGGAATTGGGGGCATTTATTTTCATACTTGTTCCACAACCATGGCACTCAATAAATATAGTTGTCACTTCCCTATCCTATTAGACACCTTTTGTTTTTAAATGGGTTTTTTTTCCTACATTAGTGTTCTACCTTAACTTTTATGTTTCCTGAATGGTGAACAGTTTTGGGTTTTTTTTAATGACCTAGGCAATGAATATAAAGAGAAGGAGATCCTTCTAGGCTTTATGGACTTTAGATGATCCCGGGGTTGCTCTATGTGCAGCCTCCGACAGTTACTGGGCAGCAGAGGAAGCGTGTGTGCAATGGCTGTGCTCACTGGCCTTGGAGTCAGTTGCCGGGATCTGACTTGAAGCTCTGTCCTGTGCTAGCTCTGCTCCTTCAACCTTGGGACTCTGGGTCCTCACCTGTAAAATGTGTGGGATGATAGTACCTACTTCCTAGGCCTGCTGTGAAAATACAATGAGCTATACCAAGGAAGGTCATTAGCCCAATGTGTGGTTCATGGGCTAAGCGCTCAAGAAAGATTAATCTAAAGAGAAAGAAAGAGAAGTGGTGAATACTGGAAGCCAGTTTGATCAGTGCTGTGGTCTGGTCTGAATGTTTGTGTCCTCACAAAATTCATATGTTGAAATCCTAATGCCCAAGGTGTTGGCATTAAGATTTGCGAGGAGCTTAGGTCAGGAGGATGAAGCCCTTTTGAAAGGGTTTAATGTTCTTATATAGGAGAACCCATAAGCTCCCCAACCCCTTGCATTTTGTGAGGATACAAAGAGGAGTGTTCGACCTGGAATGGGCCCCTCACCCGGCCATGCTTGGCACCCTGATCCTCAGACTTTTAGCCTCCAGAACTATGAGAAATAAATTTCTGCTGTTTATAAGCCACCCAATCTGTGGTATTTTGTTATAGCAGCCCAAACAGACTAAGACAGTCATTTAATTAATGGGAATTCTAAATCTGATTGACATGAACTAGGAACAAGTAGCCATATTAATTAGAGAGACTTTTATATTTAGACAAATGTAACCAAATTAGAGAAGTTGCACTTCTCAAGTACCAAATTTTTGAGAAACCCCTGTTGCCTAGATTTCTCCTAAAGTGGTGATACTTGTAATTCTTGGGAATTAGAAATCACTCACTCATACCATGCCACTCCAGACTCAGGATCCACATGCTTCAGCCTGCTCTTGTCAACGTTGCACAGAGCATTGCCAGCCGTGTCATAGGGTCATATGGGAAATGTGACACTTGAGTTCCTAAATAACCTACCTATCTAAATTGTTACCAGCATTTCCATCACCATTGTGAAGTAGTCCAGGGGCTTCTTAAGAAACACAAGGAGGGAAGGAGAGGATGGACAGACGGATGGAAAAGAAGAAAAGGAGGAGAAAAAAAGAAATAGGTAAAGACAACCAATCACATATCATTGAGTTTCCAATTTCAGTAGCTATATTTTTAAAATTTCTTTTGTGCATTTACGACACTTAGGATTCCTATTTTTACAATAACAATGAAATCAGACCGGTCTAAACTATGTCTTTTCCCATTGTCTTTTCCTACTAAGAGATTTTACCTTCCACATCAAAAAATTTCATTTCTCTGCTAGATCATACCAACCTACATTCATACATATCTTCTAACCTAATGCAAGCAAGCAGACAAACAAGCAAAAAAAAAACAGAATGAAATGCAAACACATCCTCCCTATCCCACCACACCTTTTGGTACCTTCATTGTTCTACTCCCCTTTACAGTAAAATTCTTCAAGAGGAGTGTCATACTATCTCTGATTCCTCTCTTCTCTTTCTCTCCTGAACTCTGACCAATCATGTGTTCACCTCCTCCATTTCATGGAATTGTCCAGGTCATCAATGACCTTCATGCTGCCAAATCCAATGGTCAATTCCATGTCATCATCTTACTTGATGCAAGAACCACATTTGACACAGTTGAAAACTCCATCTTTCCTGAGGCACATTTCTTCTTTCTCTGTTCTCCTCCTGCCTCATTGGCCAAGTCTTCTCAGTTTACTCTACTGGATATTACTCCCCTTCCTTCTAAATAGGAGAATGCCCTAATGACCTTTCTATCTAGGTATACTCACTTCCTAGGTGATCTTATTTAGGCCCATGGTTTCAACACACTTTACATGCTGATGAATCCCCAGTTTTTAACACAAGGCCCAATCTCTCTCATGAGCTCCAGACTCTCAGATCCACCTGTCTACTTGGCATTCTACTTGGAGTTTTATATTAATTATCTATCATGCCTAAGAAATTACCCAGAACTTAGTGGCTTAAAACAATAATAGC